CTCAGAGTCAATTTGAGGATAAAGGAACCAATTATGAGTACAAACCATCATAAATACTATATGTGTATTGCTTGTAAGAACTGTCTACGAATCTAATATACCAAATTGCTGATCACTATTCAATGAGTACGGTAAGTTCTTCGATACAGGAAGAACAGGACAAGACGGAAGAAGAAGCAAATGAGAGGAAAAGAGAAAGGGATGAAAAAATATTACATATCCCTTATGTTAGTCATAATTTATTTGGGTGATGAGAGGGATAGAATTTTTTCTTTATGAGAAGATGGCTGAATAGTTTCGTGCCTTTGCTTGTTGTTGCTCTCCGATTGGGGAAATTCACAATGTTTGATTGGTCTAATTTAAGACGAACTAGAAATGTGGCAATGGTGAGTCTTTAACGACCGCAAAAGGCTATTCACTCATACATTTCTATCACATCTCTTTGAGAATGTTACGCGAAATCGATTCATTCGTCCAAACATTCATTAAATTCGAGGGTTTTACACCTGTACGTTTAGAACATTACTTTTGATGTTTTCGGAATTAATTTCTGAATGCCCAATTTCTATGGTACTCAACACTGACATTATCTAAGTAATGAAAATCTAGTAATTTTTTCCCCTGAATTTTTTTTCCTCGCCAAAAACTTCCAAATCAGCACAACACAACCACAACAACATCACAACGCATATTCAGCCATGACATAAGAAGATCGAAAAAATCTTGAGAATTCAAATTTGTGATGTAAAATCCTTCAATTTGAGCAACAGATGATCGACGCCTGATGAAGACTTGGAGACAGAACTGAATAATTGGTTGAACCGATAGATAAAAGTGATGGCTTGAATAATAACAAGATATTCATTTATAATATCACCAAATTCTTCGAATTCCTTGAAATATTCTCAAAATATCATCCGTGAAATGTCGTAAGGAAAATTTGTCATTTCTCTCCAACTGTAATGCATCAGCGAATATTCATTTATAGCCGTACTCATCATCACAATCCTAATAAGACATCACCAACAGAAACATAAACAATCGAGCAATTAACTGAATGCATGAAACGGATCAATCAATTAGTCAAACGAATGAAATGATTCGACAAACCCTTTGAGGATTGCCCCAATCGCCCAGCTCTACCAACCATCTGTCGATACGTGGTATTGGTGAGGGCTGAGGGTCCGGACATTTGAGCTTTGATAATAACCGTCTGAGCCGGTAAGTTTACACCGGAACTTAGTGTTGATGTAGCAGTCAAAACTCTCAGCTGACCTCCACGAAAACCATCCTCTATTGCCTCTCGTTCTTCCATTGTTAACCCTTAAGTTATTCAATTAATCAGGCCAATGGAATTATCCATCAAGAGTCGGCTAAGGCGTAATGTAGTTCCGCATGATCATGATAAATTCTGGATTCTTGATATGCGCGAAAAAGTTGGAATATGATTTGGTAGGACCTATGATCATCACGAGCCTAAACAGCCCATAACCGTCGCGAGACCTGTCGAAACTATGCTTCAAACCCACAAAATCATCAATCACATCGAATTATGCGCTGTGCTACTAATTATTCATGTAAATTACTATTGAATGGCGATATGAATGACGGAATTCGGTGAATAATCCACAGATAATAGGATAACATGCACCTAGTCATTATTCCTATTATCAACCTATTATGTTGCATTATCAGTGTTGATTTGATTTGGAACGATGAATGAGACTTAATCATGCTCACACAACGCTGTATTACGTTATTTGATTATGTCCATTCATCAATCACAACTGAAACACTTCGCTACGATACGATAGCGATATTCAAAACGAAATTCTATATAACTAATAGTAAATAGCAGCAGTGCCACCAATATTTCTATGTAAATGCGTAATATGACTTGCAAATTTTACCGGAAAAAAACCCGTGAAGTAATGCAATCATATTATGGTGAATGTCTAATTTTGAAAAGTTTTGGTAGAATAAATACACTATTTAGCGCTCTCATTCTCTAATTCTCTCGTTTCTCGATCTCTCTTCAATTTTCATTCTTTGTTCCTCTTCAACTGACAAGGAAACAACTATTTTTCTCTTTGTAATCATGGAATGTACGGAAACAACTACTCGTCAGCGAAAAGAATGATTTATTAATGTGAATAATGGTGGAAGTGATATCATGACTGAAACCACTGAAACGATTGAGTGGTAAGCGTTTGGTGAACTGTCGTAATTTTTCAAGAATGTTCACTTGTGTATATTTAAATAATTAAGTTGAGTCGTCATACCCGCATGATGAAAGGCAATGCCGTTTGGAATTGTTCTCAAGAGAATTTCATCGTTTGATTGTGTTTCACTCCGAAAGTATTCCTCGAAACTCTTCAGTGAATTCGTTTTTATTATATCCAAAACATTCGACTTTAGATGATGATCGCCAGCAGATGTACTCTCATTGAAATAATCACACAATAATGAAGCGATTTTCTCAGTTTCTGATTTGGAACTGCAGAATACCAACACACTGCCATCGTTCGACAACGATTCAACACATAATCTGAAGTATTACAGTTTAATGTAAGACGAATATCATCAACAACTACATTTTCACTGCCTTCCACTTAAATTCAGCATGTATCATTTGAATTTCAAGTAATCTGATGCACACAAGAGCGCTTATCATAACCTTATGGATGGAAAACACTGATGTAATGCAATTGTTTATTGAACACAAAATGATATAATTATGCTTTATTCTCACATCTTACATATGTAATCTTCAAAAATCATTAACTAATATAGTCTGAACAATAAAAATGGATAGGTATATCACTCATACTTCACCGAAGGAAACCGTCAAAATCCGGATTTCTGAAAAAAATTCTGCAATGAAATTTACGCGATAATCCAATCAGCTTCGGTTTGCACTTCGGAATGTGGTTTGATTGCGCGTAACGGTGAGAACGTTTGTACGTCCAATACGGAACCATTTACTAAGATTCCTTCTCGCAATTCAATGGGTCGAAACTGAGTCTCATAACTGATTGCGTTGAACCAGTGGGCGAGTTCGAATAAATTTGATATTGTTGCACTCATCGCGATTAGCTGAATATGCTGACTGAAACGATTGAGTGGTAGACGTTTGTAAAACTGTAGTAATTTTTAAAGAATGTTCACTTGTGTATTGCTGGAGGTACGAGATGACTGCTTAATATATCATGCTTAATATATCAGGAACATATACACCTTACGTACATCAGTAACATACCAACATTACATTTTGGTCTGCAGTCTTGGGAATGTTACAGGGAGATTAAGCCCATACCCCCCCCCCTTCCTCCATTCCGTAAACTCAGGTGAACCCTCAAATGTTTCCTTGATGAGTTCCTTCAATAGTCGAACAAGCGATTAGAGAATACGTGAAAAGAATGAGAATCTAAACGTGATGTTTGATGCACGCGAAGTGAGAAAAAAAGATGAAGATAACGGTTTGAATGGATGAGAGGAATGAGAGTGATTCTATAACGTATGAAAAGAATGAGAATTTGTTGAGAGATCATCAGAAGTACAATATTACAACTGCGTCAAAACATTCCAAACCAACTGATTACTTCATTTTTCAATGGAATTGTTAGCGTAATATCGCTATCGCTCTTAACGATGCGTTTATTATTCAATAAAATATTACAAAATGAAAGTAAAGATTGCAAATAAAATTAGTTCATAATGACTGAGAGATCTCACTTTAAGTATGCAGAAGCATAAAGAAGTTTCGCGATGATATTTTCGATTATTTGGCCTCGATTAGAGTCGAATATCATATGAAATTCATCCACTACAACGACACCTGAAAGCGATTTTTCATTTTGAACAGCAAGTATCTTCATCCCAGAATTTTATCCAATTAATAATACGTTTCACTTAGCTGAAATTATTCCTCCTCTTTGAACATCTAAAATTTCCTGATGAATTTTAACATTTCGTTACAGAAATACAAAACGTGATGAAATTAATCACTGAAGAGTTTATGATATTGTGTTATCATTACAAAATTTATGTTCCATTTACATTGCATCAGTAAGAGATTACTAAATAAATGGATATGATTAATTGTCCGTTGTGTTGTACTTAAAAAAGACCCAGAACGTTCATTTGAAGTATATAAATAACTTTTTGGTAGCGAAAGTTTACGTGAAGCTCAATTCATTACTTGAATCCTAATGAAAATTAATGTTTCGAAAACAGTTGAAGTTGAAATTCAATTCACACCAATGCTTTCAAGGGCGCCTTCATCAGCAGCACGATTCAGTAGAGAATTCGCTTTTTCAATCGTACACACACACGCATCCCAAGAATCTGTTGGTGCTGTGGTGGCACCCATTTGTGCACGAACACGAAGGTTTATACTACGCCATAATTTCTGGAAGTTGATACGAATATTCACTGAATTTTCGACATTATTGGATCATTTGCCAAAGAAAGGTTCAAGATTGGAAATGCTTTGGTGAGATGTAGATGATTGCTTGAGATTAAGAAGTGCAGGAAAAATGATACTCGATAATGGTGTTTCACTGCTGATTAAATCAAAGATTTCTCACTCCAATGTTACCGTACAAAGTTGCATAATCATCAGTCAGTTGCCATAGTNGCACAGTCGGAACTTGAAATGAAACCAAATAGATATTTTTAGCCAAAATTGTAATATGCATCATATCTGTGTAATGTGTAGGTAATTTCATACACAAATTAACGGAATAATAAAGCAACAACAACTTATTATCGTATTGTCGTAATGTATTAACATAAATATGTGATTTTACTTAATGCGTCAAACGAACTAGTTTTTATGCTTTCATTCAGTCCATATAAAAATGCACATGACTCATACTTTCGCTCAGAATGAAGTAAATAGCTCAAAATAGATGAATCCCAACTGCTTCAATCATTTGCATCATAAAGCTTCTGTGTGATTAGACTACACTAAACTCTCAGACCCTTCTACCGATTCCAGCTTTCTTTCCTAATCACCAGTTCTTCGCATAAACAAAAATTTACTTTCTCTGCAGTTTTGAATTAAAGTAGTTATATGTCAACAGTTTTGAATGTC